ACTGTGGTTATACTGTGGTTATACTATGGTGGCGGTAGTGTATGGTCCAATGAAAAGATCAAGGTGGCTGCTCTCAAGATATGTATATACTTCATGCATATTAGAAACATGCGTGATGTTCGCGAGTTGGCGGCTTTGGCGGCAATGTAATGAGTGTTTATATGGCATATATGTAATACTATCTGATACTGTTCCATTTATTTGTTATAAACTACGACGGAGGTTAATTCATATAAATATGGGTATTACTGGGTTACTTCCATTTCTAGAGAAGTCTTCTAGAAAGACAAATATCAAAGAGTTTTCTGGTGGAACGGTTGCAATTGATACTTATTGTTGGTTACACAAAGGTGTGTTTTCTTGCGCCGAGAAACTAATGATGGGACAAACAACAAACGCGTAAGTAACGATTATATTTATTCGCATATGTTAAACATTCATTTACACAAGTCTCGATGACCCATAACTTTTCTCTTACATTGCAGGTATATTTTGTATTGTATGAAGTATATAAACATGCTTTTAAAATACAAGATAAAACCCATTTTGGTGTTTGATGGCCGACGGTTGCCCGCTAAAGAGCAAACAGAAATTAAGAGACGGGAGTATGTACATACAATGAAAACTGATCACAATGAAAAATGTTGTAAATTAAAATTTTTTACTCATGATTATTCCATTAAAAAACTGCTTCAAGTTCAATCAAAATTGTTACAAGGTTACTGTGAATTCCAATCTGGATAAATCGTTAATGTATGTAACTATATTATTTCACAGAGCCAGACAAACCAATCGTCGTAAAGCGATTGAATTGATACAAATGGGTCAAGTTGCTGAAGGAACAAATTTGTTGAGACGTGCCATAGACATAACTTATGAAATAGCATTGGAATTAATCAAACATTGCCAGAAAGAGAATATTGATTGCATTACAGCTCCTTATGAAGCTGATGCACAATTGGCTTATTTAAATATCAATGGTATAGCTGATGTTGTTATCACAGAAGATAGTGACTTGACATTATTTGGGTGTAAGAAAGTTAGTATATTGTATATTCTTGTATTATATCCTTGGGTTAATCCTTGGATAAACTTGGATTTTATTTTCTATTGCTCTTTTAATGATGATTTAATTCTATTAAGCTTTTTAATTATACAATTTTTTATTATTTTTTAATATCTGGCAATAAGACTCAAAGGTACTCATATACCGTGATGGCTATTAGAAAAAGAATGTATTATAATTTATTTTAATAAGAACTTTCTAATACATTTGTTAAGTAAGAAGGATAAAGGATTTATTTTATGTTTATTGTGAATTTTAATCTTAAACATTTGCAACTAAGCCTTTAAGTTAATTGAAGAATTTGGTTTTATTATTTCTGTTAGTTTCCTGAGATTTAGACACTTCTTTTAGTTTTATTATTTATAAATTTTTAAGAATTAGGAAATTTTTCAGCTGTTTACTTTGGAAATTACTGATACCATGCTAATAATTTGTTATTAAAGAATTTGAAATTTATCCAAAAATCTATTGTGTAAAGTTCTTATGAAATATACATATAATAATTTAAGCTTAACCATGAATTTATTAATAGCAATTTTCTATTAATATTTTAGATCTCAATATTCTAAAAATTCTTAAAAGCATCAACTATTAGGATAAATGTTCTAAAAACATGCTCTTTTTATATATTAATGAAAAATATTTTGTTCCATTTTATTATAGATATTTTTCAAAATGGACTTCAATGGAAATGGAGTTTTGATCGAGCAAGATCGATTGTATCTGGCAATGGATATGAAACCTGAACAATTTGATATGGAGAAATTCCGCTACATCTGTATTTTGTCCGGTTGCGACTATCTCCCTTCTCTTCCTGGTATCGGTTTGGGAAAAGCACGAAAATTTATTACGAGAAATACAGATCGCAATATACACAGAGTTAGTTGTTCTACTAAGCTTAGCAGTAAAGAATTTTCTAAACTTTAAAATAGCTTAATAGTTTCATATAAATGCAAGAGGAAATCTGATATTTGACAGTATGGAAAGGCGTGGTATTCCTGTCTTACGTGATTTTAAATGTTAATGCTGTCTTTTAAGGCGTTGACACGTATAGCCTCCATTCTCAACATGAAATCGCTTGTTGTGACACAAGAATACAGAGATGCATTTATATTAGCCGATATAACATTCAAGCATCAATTGGTATTCTGCCCGTTACAAAGGAAACAAGTACGATTGAATCGACCCCCGGTTGATGTTACTGAGGATCAATTACTATATGCTGGAAAGGAATTAGATATGGACGTTGCTTTACAACTGGCTCTTGGTAATTGTGACCCAGTTACTTTAAAAATGGTTCACAATTTTAATCCAGACAAAATTGTAAGTGGTTGACTGTTACAAAATTATATTATTAGAAATAATGTGGTACTTTAATAATCAACACAAAATATTTGTCATATTTTCATTATATATTGTAGGAACGAAAAAGAAAGCGAGATGCAGAGATAGAACAAACGGTAATTCAAACTAGCATCTGGTCAAGCAGATATAAATTGAAAACGAAATATCAGATCACTTCTTCCGAAGGTGTTTTAAATTCGTCAGATATTGTTGAAAAAGAATTTAGTAGAGAAAGGAAATCTCTAAAAGATGCAAATGTTTTGTTAAATTTGTATAATGGGTCACTCATGCAAAGCAACAATCTTCTAAAGGATGAAGATTTTAATAAAACTGCTATCTTGGATATGTATAATTCGAATCAAGATGCTAAGTTGACTGCCAGTCCTAAAAATTTTCCTGAAAGTTCAGAAGATTATTTATGTTTCGCAAGAAATAATACATCACCAGAGTTACTTAGACAAAGAAATCCATTTGTTAAACGAGTGTCAGATTTTACAACTTCACCAAGTGTTTTGTCTAATGGAAATTGTCGAAAAAGAGGAAGAAACTTGATGCGTATAAAACGAACTATAATAGATGACAATGCTATAATAGAAAGTAAATATTTTTCAAAAGAAGATAATAAACAGCATATCGTAGTCGCTACTGAGTCAAAAAATAAGGAAATTGAAGTCGACACAAAAAGCACAAAACATAACACAATTCCAAATATGAAAGCGAGTATGTGTAATAGCATAGAGTATGATATAAATCAGGAAGAAGAAAAACCATCTATAATAGATATTGCGCAAAATACAAGTTTAGTGGAAAATATTAATGCTAAAGTTTTATCAAACCAAACCGATTGTTTGACTGATACTAAAAATGTTCCTGAAAAATCAAATCCTAATAAGATAAATGATGTGTTGTCAATGAAACATGAAAGTTATATTTCAGATGACTTTTTAGTATCTTCAAGTTCTAACATGAAAGCTAATGATATGATCGATTATAAAAATGTAAATAGTTCACAAAGTAATTTATTTAAATGGTCAAATACAGAAAATAATCGAATCTCTTATAAAAGAAATACAAATAAGAGGCAAAGTTCATCAAATCTGGTAAATACAGATTTTATGTACATACTTATGTACATACATACATATACATACAAATAGATTTTCATAAATCAATAGGAAATATTAATTATAATTTTAAATTCCTTCAGGTATTACGAGTCAATTCAGTAACAAAGAGAAAACAATTATCTCAAAGTAAGCAATTGTCACCGTCTCCCAAGCAACAAAGCTTATTAAGCATGTATGGATTCCAAAAGAGGTAAGATTAAAAATTATGCTAAGCATTTAGAATAAGGCTATGTCTTTTAATAAAAATAATTGTGTATAATAGAAGATTTTATATAATTTGTAGTTTTCTTCGTAGGGCGTCTCTTAAACACTGATTTTCAAAGTCTATTAGACCTGGATAAGTTGCTATTTTGCAAAACTCAGAGTGTGCTATCAATATTTTATTGTGACAAATATTGACAAGAGAATATTCCTCGAATATATGTATAACAGTGAATCAGGATTAGAAGAAAGAGATATAATGACTAAAAAGAAAAGAGATGTGATACGTTTGATTAGACAAGTGATTAAGTTTTATTTGAAAAGAGTTGATTTATACGTGAATTCTGCAGAGCAGCTCAAGTTCGCCTTATATTGCTTTATACTGCCATATGTATATAAACTATCGCTTATGTATTAGCAATTAAGTATTAGTCTAAATTTTAAAACTCTAATAACATGAAGAATCTTTAGAATACTCCACACTCTACGTGACTCAAGAGGTGAAATTATCCTCTTAAAGTTTATTCTAAATGCTCAAATAATTTAAAAAATAATATTAAATTTATACGAAAAAAGGTACAATATGTTATAGAGTTTATGTAATAAAAATAAGATAATTGGTTACCTACTATTATATAAATTGTTCTCTTACATTGTCCGATCCTTTTATACTGACTTGTTTGACCTTTATTTAATGCCAAGTATATAAACTTAAGCTTGGAGTTTTCATTTTTTTCAAGTGTTTTTATATAGCATACACAAATCAATAAGTTTAAAAAATTTATAAAAGGAGTTTTATTTAGTTGGCTAACAAATTAACAGTTTATACAACGTATTATACAATATATTATAAAATATTTGTTAAAAATACATATATGCTTATTTTCTGATACGTTGCATTACAGCCACTTATAAGCTTCAAATATTCTTCTAAAACTATAACAATGTTCATGTACATCTTAATATACATCAGAAAATTGTTATTTATTGTTATTAAATTTTTTTTCAACAAGATAAAAATTCAAATAGGTTACTGAAAAATAACAAATGTTCATGTGATTAAAAAGTGAATGTATTATATTTATTTTAAAGACTGACGAATTAATCATATGTCGTCTCTGCTAATTATATTGTGAGCACATAAGCCAAAATAGTTTCATTCATACTTAAGCTGTTGTATTTTCTGATTCGTCCCATGGTCTCTGTATCCGAACATTCTCCCAATTATCCAAATCCACCTTCAAACATAAGATAAGTTATTTTATAAATACTATCTAAACCTATCACGTTATATTATAAATATAAATGCTTTCTATTTTTTAGTGAACAAGTTGACACAATTGTTTGTCCACTTTGTCATTTACTAAATGCTAAAAAAAAGACAGGACAGTTATGTTGATTTATTATGCTAAATGAAAAACCTGCAGATAGATTGGATAGAGTTTTTGTACACACAAGGACTAGAAACTTATATAACAAAAATGTTTGTAGTATCCAAATTGTTTACTTAACGTGCACGCGCATCAAATATCAAGTTAATTTATCAATTTAAAGATATGATTTTACTGTCCCATCCAATAAGCTGTGTTTCAGGACTGACAAATAATCAACGTACAGTTAGGATTTAAAAGCAGTATGTAAAACTTTACACAAAAATATCATTAGGCTACTAAGATCCAGTCTGACCGCAGACAGCTTTACTAATTATTTGATTAGTACGTTAGGCGATTTTTTGGTACATGTACCAAAGTGTACCAGTGTACACTCAGCGTCTTGAATGCTTTTACACCTGAAAATAGCCGTTAAGTTCAATATATTCTGAGACCAATTCATTTTATTTAAATAAATTTTCCTATTGGATATCTCTTTAGCATCTTTCTTCTCGCTAAAAATCGCTTATTATTATTATTGTAGTTTATCTAATTGGTACAACAGCTCGACAAAGGACGAAATAGACTCTATAGCGTATAATCGTTCGTAATATATTAAATTATTAATTTACTTCGATCTTTGTATGTGTGTGTATACCTACGGTTTCAATATACTAATTAACTACTAATTTGCATAGTATCTACAAGACATCAATCTGCATACCTCCTGCAACTTTTCGTATTCTTTTTCTAAAGTAATTTCTTCCGGTTCTCTCATTTGAATTCCTTGCTTCTCTAATTCCTCGCGTATTTTATATTCATTCGTACGTTTGTACCTATAACTATAAATGCATTCGGTAAAGAAATGTTTTGATACTTAATACATTTTTAAGTTTATCTCTTAACAGACAGTTACCGTAATTCTGTAAATTCTCGGAGGCCAAACGATCCGCCGATGATAAAAATCATAAACGGTATACCATACCGCCAAACTCTAGGGTGTGACATTACATTATTCATTTATTAACTTAGCACACGCAATCATAACCATAACCTTCGTTTAGACGAAGACCATGCTTACACTGCTTAGAAGCATGTATCAAGAAGACAGAGAGATCAGTGATGGCTTGCAAGGAATCGTCTGCTACAGGAGACTTCGTGCGCATGCGTAGCAGCTCGAATCCAATGGTGGATGTAGATGCCACGTTAAGAAGCCACAGGGGTGTGTTCAGATTCCTAACCCGATGACTGGGGTTGAGTTGCTCAGAGTTTCGACTCTAACCCGATCTTTGACTATAGAAACCTGGACTGCTAGCTACGAAATTAATATGTAATGAACATAGGAACAACAGCGCCACCATGGTCCTTACCCAAGAACTAAAATATCATGACGCCATACAACAGATTGCCAGAGTCAAAGTG